ACTAGATTGCCACTTCCTACTTTATGTTAGCCATTCTGACCTTTAGACAACCCTGTTTCTATTCACTGTTTTATAGTTTTCTTGATTTATTTGCATTTTTCTGTTTCTTAATACATTGTGTGATTTAGATCATATGCTTTATATTGTAGCACATCTGGGTATTACTTTCCTATAAAGGATGTTCCTGCTGGCACTCAGTGGCAAAACTAAGAAAAAACTCATCTTAAAATTCTTGGGGCTGGAAAGATGGCCAGTGCTTTAAGAGCGCTGGCTGCTTTTTGAGAGAACCCTGGTTTGATTCCTAGCACTAACATGCTAGCTCACAACCATCTGTAACTCGAGTCCCAGGGGATTCAAAGCTATCTTCTGCAGGCATTGTACACACAGGGTCATAGACATACAAGCAAGTGAACCCCCAGATATGAAAACACTAGGCCTCGTGACTTTGCCTAAGTTTATAGTTGTTTACCATAGGAGGGCAGGTCTCTTGTCAGTTGTTTCTCCATGGGTAGAAAGGGAAGTCTTGCCTATGAATTTTGAAACTGTACTTCTATAACATATTACTTGATCTCTCCTGTGACTTGGCCTCCAGGCTAGCTAATGTAATTAATTGGTAGAATTTCATCTCACAGGCCCTGCCATATGTCACCTGCCTCGACTGTTACTTTTATTCTGCTACTTTTGATAATCTTATGACTTAAACACATTTCTTTTTCTTCATCATTTTTTTTTTCTGAGACAGGGTTTCTCTGTGTAGCCCTGGCTGTCCTGGAACTCACTCCGTAGACCAGGCTGGCCTCGAACTCAGAAACCCACCTGCCTCTGCCTCCCAAGTGCTGGGATTAAAGGAGTGTGCCACCACTGCCCAGCCCACATTTCTTTTTCTTACAATAGTGCTTAATTACTTGTTGAGCTTACCAGATGATCTTACCTAGAGCAGTAGCTAAAGTGACTTCACTTAAGAGACTCAGCCATCGTGACTGTGTCATAACTCTGTGCCAGTGACCTGAGCGTGTTTGTCCCAAAGGCTCCCAGGCTCATTTCCATCTCCAGAACCAGTACCTTGGGACAGAGTTCTGAGTTGTGCCCTTTCTTTTCTTCTTTCCAAGCACTGGAAAATGCTTGCCTGCTGTCTCCCCACTGTGACGATTCACGCAGGCTTGTCTCCCTCGGCTGTGTGTGCGTGAACTCGGGGCTGAATCACTTATTAGCTTTCTCTGTTTATTCAATAACTGACAAGTCAAATGCTCTTGTCCCCACTTCTAGGAAAGAGACAGGACATACTCAGAACTCAGCAGTCCCCAGAGTGTCCTCTCAAGCACACTCCCTTCCAGGCCTGCTGCTAACCGCTGTCGTTCCTTTTATAAAGATGATTTATTGTTTTTCCTCATAATTGTATCACTTAATATATTTCCAAACAGTTTTGTTTCTTTTGCAATTTTACATCCCCTTGCTCACAGTTCTCAAAATCACAAAGTCCAAGACAAAGGTGTCATGGAAGGTGTGGGGTGCATGCTGTGGTAGAGCTCTCACACATGAGTGTCGGAGATACAAAACCCTGTTATTTAGCAATGGGATAACGGAGAAGAGGACGCCCTGCTTAAAGCCAGCTTCTCTACCACAGAGCTGGTTCTCCATGCAGGGAAGGAGTGACAAAGGAGAGAGGAACCCAGGGAGGAACATAGGCAGTCCTGGGCACAGGCCGAGGTCCTGCAGGCGCCACCTCTCTTCGTTCCTTGGGGGTCATTGTGGCTGATAGAGGACTTTACCTTGAAGGGGAATGAGAGACTAGGCACATCTCTGTCAGATTAACTCTGAATTAGAGGACAAAATAGTTCTCTAATACTTAGCCTATCTAGGTGCAAGGTGAGTAGAATCTGCCCAGAGGATAAGCCAGCCAGGAGGACAGACATAGGATGAAGGGACAGATGCCAGGCCTTCTCATCCTATCCTAGTCATGGGACATCTGTAGACCCAGGGGAAGACTGTGTTTCCTTCTAAAGTGGCTGTCCAGGCTCAAGGAAAGGAGCTGAAGCTGCTGTTTACAGTAATGCTGTGGTACAGGTCTTCTCCAAGGCTGTGCTGGAAATCACCAATAGTATAGACTAGCCGTGTGTCCCTCAGAATGAATGCTGTTAAGTCACCTGAGCAAGCAAAGGATTATTCAGCTTTCCTTAGGATCAAGGTTGTGTAGACATCTTTCACTCCAAGATGCTACCTGGTAGATGCCATCTTCCTCTGGTATCCACATGTGACCTCCCTCCTGAGTATGTCTGTGCTCTAACGTCTCTGTAAGAACACCAGTTACATTGGGTTAGGGCACAGTCACATGACTTCTTTTGAGATCTTTAAAAAAACTTGTCACTAAGTGCAGTCAAACTCCAAAGGAGTTGGAGTTAGGACTTCAGCATAAGAATATTTGGGGGCATGGTTCTTGTGATAATAGAAGTCCCCAATTCAAGCGTGTTCTGCATGGTAAGGTCTTCCCTTGTGTGTGTGTGGTGTGTGTGCATAGCCACATGCATGTGATGGTGTGTGCATGAGTGCTGTGTACATGCCTCTGGAGGCCAGCGGTCAGTGTTGGGTGTCTTCCTCTGTCCCCCTCCTCATTTTTTGAGACAGGGTCTCTCACTTGCTTGGAGCTCATTGACTGACTAGACCAGCTGGCAAGTGAGCCCTCAGGACCCGTGTCTGCCTCGAAGCTCATGCTGCCCCTCCCAGACTTTGATGTGGGTGCTAGGCATCCAGACTTGGATTCTTGTGCTTTCATAGTGAACAGTTTTTCTGCTGAGCTGTCTCTCCAGCCCCAGCACTCCTCTGTAAAAACCTGTATCGTGAGTGTGCTCCCTGAGATCATTAACTGTTTCCCTAGTTATTTCCTGAAATAATATAATTTTACATTTATTTTACTTGTAATGCATTGGCACTGATTTTTGTGTATGGGGGAAACCGGACCTCATTTTCCATGAGGATAGGTTTGCTTTTCTTCATTGCCCAACCCAACTGCCATCACTGGGAGCCAAGTGCCCACCTTGCTCCCATTTCTGTCCCACTGATCTGTTCTCTCCAGAGAGTCTCGCTGGCAGGCAGGATGCTGTCGCTCTGCAGGCCGTCATACAAATCGACAGCAGTAACTCTTCCCACCCTGCTGCTCTTCCAGAACATCTCCTGTCTTACCATTCTGTAAACAGACCTCTTGAGACATTTTGCGGAAATTCTTTGATGTTAGGAATTGGGGAAGAATTGTAAGTGTCATGAAAGATAAAACTAATAAAGATAAACAGGTAGGGGTGGACTCTAATGAGAGACAATTCTGAGGTGTGGTATGAGCCTCGGATGTGACGGAGTAGATGCCAGGAAGCCGGGCAGACAGGGGCGCTGCACTTTGAGTTGTGTTTCAGGTACTTACCAACCCTGCTGTTGTATGTCCTGATAATAGTGAAAAGTATGGATATATGTCTTTGTTCTCAGGAAATGCGTGCTCCTCATGGGCGCGTGGGTATAATGGTACCTGCAGCCAGCTCTCAAATCACAAGGGTGTGTGTGTGTGTGTGTGTGTGTGTGTGTAGGGGGAGATATAAGGAGCTCAAGTGGTACTGTTAGCCCCCAGTGAATTGTGAAGAGATGTAAAGGGTTTTTTTTTTCCTGTACATTTAAAATTTCTTAAAATAATAGTTGAGGAAAATTAACTTTATTTTGTGTCTTAGGAAAGAGAGACCCAGGCAAACCTGTCAGGGCCTGTCATAGTGTTTTGTTCAAGCAGGTCTACCTCAGACTACAGCAACGGAATGCCAAGTGGCTCAGCATAGAACAACATCTGCGCCAGCATGGGAAGGAAACCATGCTGACACCAAGTACCCTGGACTAGCGCTCTAAGTAGAATCCTCACTCTGGAGCTGTCTGTGCTCACTGCTAAGTCTTAGAAGCTTTTCTGAACCATGGACAAGAGCTCCTTAAATCTGTCATCCTAACATTTTAACATGGTTATTCTGAGAAGTTATACTTCATTCTGTCTCTTTCGAGAAACTAAACCAAATAGTTTTTCTGTTTTAAAAATAATTCTATGTGTATAGGTATTTAGCCAGCATGTATTAGAACCACATGCATTGCAATGCCTACAGAAGCCAGAAGAGGGCGTCAGATCCCCTGCGATTGGAGTTACAGATGGTGTGAGCCGCATGTGGGTGCTCGGAATTGAGTCCAGGACCTCTGCAAGAGCAGCCAGTGTTCTTGACTGCTGAGCTGCTGCTGCATCCCCCAGATATCTTTACTTAGAAGCAGTTCTGGTGCTTGAAGACAGTGTTTATATCTTCCGTAGAGAGCTCAGAGCTGTGGTTCTCACAGCAGGCATCTGGCATCTATAAGGAGAATAAAGTCCCATCAGGTTTCAGTGAGCACATACAGAAAGTAGCGAGACCGCATTGTGTGGCAAAGAGAAGGGGCCTTGCCGTCTAGGTCTGTTCTTTACAGTGCTTTCCTTTCCTGGATGTTAGAAACAGGAGTATGTTTACATAAGACGTTTCATCTTCCAACAGCAAAAGGAAGAGCGGAGCTCCTGAAGATCAGCCTCCGGGAGGTGGAGCTGGATCCGGACATCCACCTGGAGGACATCGCAGACAAGACTGAGGGCTACTCAGGCGCTGACATAACTAACATCTGCAGGTGTGTCTTGGTGACCTGTGGCTGAGCCCCCACGTTAGTTCTAGGTGTGCAGGACAGGCTGGTCTTAAAGTCAGTGACATTAGCCTCAAACCTGAAGGTAGTACCCTGTTTCCTGAAGGTTTGCACTTATTTTTTTCTTTTCAAGTAGTTTTATTTCTTTTTTAAATTTTTTTTGAGATTATAATGTAATTACTGCACTGTTCTCTCTTCACGTTCCTTTCCCCAACCTGACTGCCTACACGTGAGCAACAGCAGCCATGCTAACACCCAGGCCGCCAAACTCAGCAGCCCGAGACAGCAGCAGGCAGCCAAGGAGTGCTAAGAGCAGGGACAGTTCCCGCGTGCAGTGCACAGATGGTCAGCTCTAAAGACATACATGTGTAATACAATATAGATGTTCTCCCGTAATATACACCTTGATTGATTGTTTGACAAACACATATGTAATATAATAACTTTTGCTTTCTCTTGCTCAATTCTTGATACCAGGTCCTCTGCTGTCCAGACTGTCTGTAAATTCATGCTCCTCCTGCCTCTGTCTCAGAAATGCTAAGATTACGGACACTCTCTTTGGGTTTCGCAAGTGCTGGTCAAGTGCTCCACAGAAACACTGTGTCTTACTTGGCACAAGTAGCTGAGCAACCCCTGGCTAATCAGCTTTAGGGTGGAGCACAGCCATGGAAGCAGTAGTGTGCAGCTTTATTGGGCAAATTTGGACCACATGAGGATGGACAAAGTTGATCGGTTTCATCGATGGAAGAGACACAGTTTTCAGTTCCCTTCCACTTTAAGGACTTTGTGATTTTAGATACATGACTGGAAAAAGAGAACTTAGTTCTTACATGGAGAAGTCTGGATACTTGGGCTCCACGCTTTCCCTTAAAGCTTTAGCATCTGTCTCTCTTGTGTTTTCTGCTAGTGTTTTTTATGGGTGCATTTGAGGCTAGAGGCCACATGCTCACCATAAGTAACACAGTCTCTGTAGTAAAACACTGGCAGACCTGAAGGTGTGACTGCCTTGCCCTTCCTGGTAGGTCTTGATGAGAACACAGTTGGTCAGGAGAAGCATCCCACAGACATCCCCTGAGGCAACCTGTGTTTGGAGATGTTCATATCCCTGCCTTTACTCCATTTGCCTAGGCTGTACACTGACTTATTGGCTGTAGACTTGAATCATTTTAACATTAGCCAGATGTTCATCCCAGGTCCGCAATTCTGTATTCCAAAATTGATTTCCTCTTCCTAAACTTCTAGGTTGTTTATGAGGCACAGAGAAGAAAACTAAGTACTAGTTGAGCTTGCCCCAGGCCTCTGTGATAGTGTACTTTTCAACTCCTATCCTGTTTTGGGGTGTGTGTGTGTGTGTCTGTGTATGTGTGTCTGTGTGTGTGTGTCTGTGTGTCTGTGTGTGTGTTTTGCAGGTATATGAATGTATGCAGATACCTGTGCACATGTGTGCACTTGGAGATCAGAGATCAATCTTGGATGTTGTTTCTCAGGTGCTGGCCATCTGATTTTGTTTATATGGTAAATAGGGGTGGGTTTCTTTTTGTTTTTGCAGGGTCTCAACTGTGTATCTCTAGCTGGCTATGTAAACCAAGTTAGACTCAAAATCATAGAAGTCTGCTGATTTCTACCTTCTGAGTACTTGGTTAACTCTGTGTACCACTATCCCTGGCATCACCCTGGGTTTTTGAGACAAGGTCTCTCAGTGGCCTTAAGATTGTCAAGTAGGCTAGGATAGCTGGCCAACAGGCCCCAGACATTTCTGTTTTCACCTCCCTAGGCCTACAGTGACAAACATGTGCCAATATGTGCAGCATTTTGGGGGGTTTGGGAATTGAACCCCTGGTCTTCATGCTTAGATAGCCAGCAGGATCAGCCAGCAGGATCCAGTTCTTGTGTTGGTTTTGAATCTCTCCTGAAGCTTCAGGATGTGACTGGAGACTTCTAAGTGGTCTCACGAAAGAACATATAACATAGTCCTCTGAGTGTTTGTGGTAACTTTGTTGCGAGCAGGAGCAGAAATGGCTGCTGACTCCTCTGCCTGTGGTTCCAGGGACGCTTCTCTGATGGCGATGAGGCGACGCATCAATGGGTTGAGTCCAGAAGAGATCCGGGCCCTGTCCAAGGAGGAGCTGCAGATGCCTGTCACCAGAGGGGACTTGGAGTTGGCACTTAAGAAAATCGCCAAGTCTGTCTCTGCGGCAGACCTGGAGAAGTACGAAAAATGGATGGTTGAGTTCGGGTCTGCGTGATTGATCAGCTCTTCCATTTCTGGGAGTTTTGTTTATGAAATGAGAAGAATTTCCTGAAATTAAAAAAAAAATCTGGAATTTTTAATCAGAGAAATCTTCACTTAAAGGCCAAAACAAAACAAAAATGTCTAGAGGTACAGAGAAATGTAGTTGAGAAACAAGAGACGCTCATAGAGTCTGCTGGCTTTGGGCTACCACGCCTTACACTGGTGGTACAGAATAAGCAAGCCAATGGCCCGGGCTGAAGGGGGCGGCTCTGTGCGGGGAGGCCTTGTTTACAAAGCACTGACTGAGTTTTCATGCACACACTTGCATTGACTGTTTGTTTGGAATTGTCACTTTGAGTGGGATGATCGTGAATTCTTTAGGAAATGATCTTTAACTCTGTAGAACGTAATACTTCCTGTTAGAGTCTAATGTGTAGTTAGTATACTCATTGCTCTTAGCTTACCAGTTCCTCTGTTAGCTGCTGCCTTATGTCCATCAGGGAAAAGTCTCTGACCAATGGCTCCTTAGACATTTGCCAAGTCTCTTTTCCCTGGCCTGTAGTCACTGTGCTGGGCCTCTCGTACTTCCCTTGGAGCGATGATAAGAGTCCTTACGCTGAGCAGCAGCCTTTACCCTTGAAGCTCTCACACCACTCTGCCCAGATCACTATGGCTGTTGCTTTTTCTCACCTCCAATACTGTATGCTTCTGTAGAGTCTGACTTTGCTGTTAGGTCAGTAATCTGATTCTAGACAAGACTAGTCTCCTAGGCTAATGCAAAAGAACCGTTTCCCCCTCTTTTGCATGTGAGTATTTTGCCTGCATGCATGCAGTGCCTGAGGAGGCCAGAAGAGGACATTGGCTCCCCTGGTTCTGAAATTATAGCAGGTGTGAGCCACTATGTAGATGCTGGGGACCAAAGCCAGGTCCTCTATATAATGGCTGAGCCATCCCTGCAGCCCCACACACAGCATCTATGAACTTGTACCTGCAGTGGCACCAGAGCAGACATCTGCCAAGCTCATCAGACGTGGAGTTAGCCGGGAAGGAGGATCTCAGAAAGGGAGCCGCATGAGTGTGGTCACACGCACTGGGCCCTGATGTTCATCCTCTGTAATTAATTATGCCTGCCCCTTCTGGATCAGCAGGCAATGCTTTCATTGACTTTAAAAGCTTGTCTAATAATATTCCGACTCTCAAGCCTATTTTAAAACTATATTCTATATACACCTTAGAGGTACTTTTAAAAACTCCTAGTATGTTGCTTAAGATATTTGACCTCTTTTTCTTACTAAAACCTATAAATCTACCATGCTCTTTTCAGGAAACATAAACCCGACGCTTTAAACTCGTGGATTCATCTGGTTACTATAAATTGCCCCCTTTCTTCTGAGACAGAGTGAAGGGGTCTAGCAGGCTGGACCATGACAAACACAGGCCAGAGCATGACAAACATGGCACTGACAGGTTTTGCCCTTTACCCTTCTCTTCTAGCTGAGCTGTTAGGTCTCGTTCCTGAAGCTCGCTATCAGGGTCTGGCCCCGTATTTGGCCACTGACTCATTCCTGAGACTGAACACCAAGGTCCAGCAATCAGACTTCATTATTTTGGCTAACCTAACCCAATCAGATCTTACCAGCACATTATAGCTCATTCTAAGACAGAACTACCCCTTTTCCTCTTAAAATTAACACTTGCAAAACTATTTACTGTTGTTTCTGTGTAACTCAGACTCAGCCACCTTGTCTCTCTGCCTTGCTTAATAAAGGATCTTTTTGCATCTGGCTTGTGCTTGGACGTAGGTGTTTGGGTGTGATCTGTGCCTAACCTGGGGTCCAGAGGAGAGCATCCCACAGTACACAGGTCCTGTCACACAGATTATAAAATTTCAAATCAAAAGACATCATTTTATTATAATGGGACTAATTTTGAAAAATTAGACTGTGAGACTTTACCTTCCATGAACAAACTTGCTTTTATTTATTTTGAGGAAGGGTCTTACTTTGTTGCCAGTGCTGGTCTTCAGCCCTTGGGACCAGCTGTTTCAGCTCCTGGAGTAGCTGGGACTCCAGGCACTACACCTGATTATTTATAAACGTTTAAAATAAATAATTAATGTGGAAGGCTGATACAGGAGGATCAGTAGGAAGCAGAAACAACCCAAATGTCCTCCAACTGCTGAAAGGATGATGAAAATATCACATACACACACGTGCACGCACATGCACACGCACATGCATGCACGTAGTCTGAAGCCAGCTTGTATGGAATAACAAGGCCCTGTCTCAAAAGTCAAACAGAAAGAAACGATCCCACTCAAATCCTCTTAAAAAAGAAAGAGAAAGAAAGGAAGGAAGAAAAGAAAGAGAGAGAAAGAGAGAGAGAGAGAGAGAGAGAGAGAGAGAGAGAGAAGAGAGACAGAAAGAAAGACCTTCTCTATAACCCTGCTGGCTGGTAGACCTTTTCTGGCTTTGGCATTACTTCTCTTGCATAAACCTATTTTTTCTGAAGTCCTCATGCGCCCGCAGTGCAGCCCTGGGTCTATCCTAAGGTAGGTGGTGGTCTGTAGTTAGTAAGTCAGATGTGCTCCCTCCATCTCTTCCCTCTTCATATGCTGTTATGGACAGCAAAGTTTGCTCGTCTTAAACCCCTGCACAGATCTGCAAAAGACCGCTCTCTTGTAAGATGTGCTGTCCGTACACTGTCATGGCGGCAAGAGGCATGTTACCTTGCACACAGTAGGATTGTTTTCCTTGCTGCTCTGGGTTGTAAAGCAGATGTGTTATCACAGTAGGAGTAGTCGGTTCTACTTCCTTGGGAAACAGGAACATTGGAGCACAGCACAGGGATTGTGTGTAGTTGTTTGACAGGAGCGTCATGGATAGTCCTGTCATGGGCACACTGTGCTGGTCACCCTCTGTGTACACAGTGGATGGAGGTGTGTGATTTGCCAAGCTGCGCTGGACTCTGAAACTCTGGCTGGACATTTTCTCTGGTAACTGTCAGTCCTGGCTTCTGCTACTGAAGCAAGGGTTTAGCTCAAAAATGGGGAGATGACCGTCTATGTGTTTGGGGAAGAGAATATACAAAAAGGGTTTCCTCGTCTGCTTTAAAAAGAAAACAAAAAACAAAACAAAAAAACCTTTGATTGGCTTTAAAATGAGAAGTTTTAAACAATTAAACAATTGGTTTAAACAATCAAACAATTGCTTGTTTAAACACACAATTCAAAATAAAACGATTAAAGATCTATTTTAATGCACCCACTTTATCATTTTTGTGCCATAATTACATGAGTAATTATGATAAGTGTATACGCAGCTAATGTGTTTGCTGCAAAAGTTTTACTTCCATAATCTCTTTTTAAAAGGAAGTAAGATAATATTGGTAAAAATGTTTCTGACAAATGGCTCCTTAAGGGAAGCTGTGGCCTCCTAGTTATTCAGCTTAGAAACAGGCGACATCACAGGCCTTTCACCCAATCAGTTTGATCATTCTGCAGAGTGACGCAGACACATGGTCATCAGAAATACCAGACACTGTGGGAGCATCCTGCCAGGGGGCCTTTGCAGGAGAGCCCGGTTCACAGTTCAGTCACATAGCTGTTTAACTTTCAGGTAGTTCAAAAAGTGGGGTGGAGTAGAGAAACCAGCACCCAAAAGCAGGCAAGCAGGTACACAGAGCCCTAAAACGAGCAGCCACCCAGGAGCGTAGGTGTAAGCCCAGTTTACAGTATTAATTGTCACTCTTTATCCCTGTGTGTATTGTGACTCTGTGGGGAGTATTAATCTTCTTAGGTCTTAGGTATCTGAGTTCATGAGATTTCCTTCCTTGGATACACTGTGCAGGAATCTGCCCTGTTATCCTCCTCCTCGCCCCGCTTGAGATGCAGGCGGGAGTTAGGCCTGTCATTTGCATAGTGGGCGTGGCTCTGGCCTCCTTAGTGTGGTCTTCTTTTGTCTTTATTTTCCCTCATAATAGTACATTTTCTCTGCTCTCTTATTAAATATAGATCACAGCTAGGGTATGCTTCGTGCTTTGGGATAAAATGTTAGGTATGACTCGGCCTTTTCTAAGAAAAGATCTAACTGCGACGAATGAGGACAGAATCAGGACTTTTCCAACTTTCTCATATCTTTGTTTTGTTGCTTAAAGTTTGAATGTACAATGTTTTAAATGTGTGACGCACATAACACTTATGCCAATCATAAGAGTCCATCACAACTGAAGAAAATAAGTCCAAGTTGAAGGACGCATTGGGGCAAACTAACCCTCATTGGACCGCTCGTGGGGGTGGAGGAGGGTGAACTAACCCTCACTGGACCGCTCATCGCTCGTCGGTACTGATCATCTCCGCAGTTACTTACCTCGTTGTAATTACTACAAGTTTACTTATTTATGCCTTTAATTTAGGCTTTTCTTATTTATTTAATCTTTGGGTCATTTTGCTTTTGATATTGTTTTTTAATGTGGAAACTGAGTATTTAAAATATTAGATCTGTATGGTAATATATTTTTACACATTTACTTAGTTGAATTTTTGCTAGTTTTTTTTTTCTCTCTGAAAACTGTAGTTTTGATGATATTTCTCATTTCAGGTGCCTTGTTAATAAAAACATATTAAGAGGATGTTATGAAACCATGTCTGCTTTGATTTTCCCACACCTTAAGAAAACTAAAAACAAAATTAAAACCTGAATATTGGCTTAATTCTAGTGGTGACACTAGTGGTAGTACTTAGTGGTATGGGGTTGCTATGTCTGGGACCACAAATGGGGGTTGATGCAGGGACATGGGCCTTGTATGGAAGAAGGAAGAGAACGCACACCCATGCTCACTCTGCTATTCTCTCTCTCATGCTCACTCTGCTATTCTCTCTCTCTCTCTCTCTCCCTCCCTCCCTCCCTCTCTCCCTCCCTCCCTCCCTCCCTCCCTCTCTCTCTCTCTCTCTCCTCTCTCTGTGCTGTACTCTCCCCGCTCCCTGTACTCCCAAGTACACATGCCCTCGCCCTCGGGAGGATCCCAACCTAGTTTTAGGCATTTCTTCCTCATCTCTTCAGATCTGTTCTTCAAGCGCTGCCCTCTCTGCTGCTTTTACCTCCTCCTGGTAACGTCACAATTCTAAACTGGAAGTGTAAGATTAGTAGTATTAGTATTATTTTGAGACAGGGTCTTACTTGTAGCCCCTGGCTAGTCTAGAAATAAATATGTAAATCAGGCTGAAGTCACAGAGAACAGCTTGCCTTTAAAGGTGTGACCCTCAGTGAAGTGTGTGGCC